GGAGTCCGGTGGAGAAGGAAGACAGCGGCCATAGCCGCGGAGCTGTAACACAGAGTACCGGAGGAGAGAGAAAGGGAGGACAGAGAAGGAGGGACTGAGGAGAGAGAAGAAGAAGTGTGGAAGGAGGAGAACGAAGAAGAAGACAGACATAGCCGGGGGTGTGTATAAAAATAAAAATAAAAAAATACAGCGAAAGTGAAGAGAAAGAAAGTGATGGAAGGGGGGAAGCAGACGGCGAGGGTGACAAAGGTGAAGGTGCTGGCAGCCATAGCCGAGGTGAGGAGTTGAACGGGCGTTGACCGGACCGTAGACCAGAGGGTTGACCGAGGGTTGACCACAGGGTTGACCAAGCGTTGACCAGGGGTGTTGACCAAACGTTGACCGGGGTTGACCGTGTTGACTCGGCGTTGACCAAGGCATTTACCGGAGCTGCTGCCCAAGATTTTGACCAAGCTGGAGTTGGTGATATCTCGTTGACCCTTCAGCCTATCCCCTTACCCTATGGATGTGCACTTACCCCATGGTACTTGCTGAGTTGTCTGTCTACTCTTTCTGCATTGAGTCTCTTCTGTCCTAGGTGCTAGGAATCTGTGGATGAAGGATAGGGCCTTGCTGCCAAACCTATACGGGCTTAGTAGGACCAAAGCTCTACTCTGGCACTTGGAGACCTGGGCATGAGCGGCGAGCGCTCGTTAAACAACTCGTCTAGCCCAATGACCGGTATTGTCCGGCAGGTCTACTGAGTTCAGTGTGGAGGGTCTGAACTCCGAGCTGTAGGCTGAAACGAAGGCCATCTTTGAGTGTTGACGCCTGGTTGAGCCACTCCCCTACCGGACCCAGAAGGCTGATGATCCATGTCTGACGACTCGACTGTCCCGAGGGATACGAACCCCTCCAAGGACCGGTACTGACCGGCGGGCGGCTTGGTGTGGCACAGGAGGTTGGACGGGCTGAGTTGTGGGCTGAAATYGCCAGAGGAACCAAGCTGATCGCGTCGTCCTGTCTGCGATGTTAAAGAATTCGTGCGGAGTTTGGGGGATCTCCTTAAATGCCTCCTGATTAGCTCTTGGTTCTGTAGTGACAGCCTTAGAGTAGTCTTGGGTTAGTAGTGACCATAGTTGACAGGGTTCTACCCTGTGGTCTTTAGGGAGTCAGTCAGTAGGTCAGTGTGTCTGGGTAGGTCTACGTGGTGAGGAGTGGGACCCCTGTCGTGCACCAACACCACGATGGATGACTATCCGATGTATGGGCTACTTGTTGGGTTCTCCCTCTGGGGGACCCTCTGGCGTCTCCTGTTTCCGCTTGGCTTCTGGCCCACGTTCACGTGTAGAGTAGGGCCCACTCGTGGTGGTACTTCCACCCAGCCATACACGAAGGAGGAGGAGGAGAAGATGACCGCCATCCTGCAGGAGAGAAAGGAGAAGAGGGAGGCCAAGAAGAAGGCCTTGCAGGAGGAGCAGGCGGCCAAGCTGAAAAAGATTGAGGAGGAGATGGCCAGAGAAAAGGAGAGATTAAAGAAAGAAGAAGAGGAGAAGTTAAAAGAGGTGGATGAGGAAGAAGAGGAAGGACCGCCGCTGCAAAGGAGTGGGCAACACAGTGGCAATCGAGATGATGAGATGGAGAAGAAGATTTCGGAGTGGGTCGCCAACTTGTCCTTGGGTGAAGAGGAAGAGGTCGCTATGTACGTCCCCAAAGATGAGCAAGAAGCCGCTATGAAAAAATGGGAAGCAAAAAAAGATGTGCTGACGCGGCGGGCGATGGAGGATGAACAGAGGATGCCGTGGAAGCTCTTTGTGACGAGGGAGAAAAAGAGAAGAGTGGAGGTGGCGAATGCAGCAATGCAAGAACTAGCGGAGGTGAGGACTGCTTTAACAACACAATTAACTCCGCAAGTAGATCTCCAACGCAAAGTGGAGATCATCGCCCAAAGTGTTGATCGGTTAGCCAAAGTGCAAGAAAAGCACTATGAGTTTAGTCGCAGCCAGGAAATATCTGTGCGTTCGATGCGAACGGGATTACGGGATTTTGCTCGCGAATTAGTAGGCGCTGTGGGGTCGGAGGTGAGTCACCACCTTGAGAAGACTGAGCGTTTTTGTGTTGGCGCTATCGAAGGCGTCAAGGTGGCAACTCCCAAGGAGGAGGCTCGTCCTCGCAGGGAGCCAGTCAAAGTCAAATTCCCTGATTCCTACAGTGGGAAAAGGGAAGAGAACTTTGACAATTGGGAGGCCAATGTTAAGACCGATGTGCATTTGCAACAGGTCTCCCCGGATCAGCAGGTCTTAATTGCGATCCATGCACTTAGAGACGAGGCCGCCAGTTTCGCGAGATCCCTTGTTTGTGCTGCCAACTGTAGTGACGATCCAGTTGCGTACACCTCGTTTACGTCCCTCATTGAATTCTTGAAGCTGCTGCGCGAGTGATTCGCTGATGTTGCCCGTAGTGTCAAA